CTTCACGTATGTTATTCATATGATTCATTAGTTTATTGACAGTTGCAATGCATGACCTACTCCTATTTCACTTTTATATCTTAGACGTGTTCTTAGGAGTGTTCGACAGATAGGACTCGGGTACTCGTCATGGACCATCGATTTGAGCCGTGACAATCCCAGTGCCATATCTTATCAAGGTCTTTGATATCTCGATGGTGATAGATTCTCCTGCTGCTGCTATTACTTCGAACCAGAGGCTGCTCTAGGTCGAGGAGACACTGCAGCTGTTGTTTGCTGCTTTGCGCCTTCGTTCTGATCGGGGGGAGACTAACTTGGCGAAGCTGCAGCAGGACCACCCCATGTCTGCTGTCACTCATTTGTTGTTGGGATTGGTAGAGGGAGGACAGCTGCCACCGGATGAGGATGTGAACTTCATTCCTTTCAATGATGAGGAGTATTTGTGCACCTTTGAGGGTGCTGATGATTAGGACAAGGGCCTCAGGGAGTCACTTTTTCACTCTTATTTTACTATTTTGCATTAGCGACAATGTAATTTCTTAAGTGTGGGGTGGGGTTCTTCTATTTGCTTGTATTTGTATTTGTTTTCTATTTGCCAATTGGCTTTGTTTGATTTGTTTCTTGCTTTCTTAGACAATATGGTATGTAAATTATAACTCTGAATTCTATCGGCCTTTAATAGTTAGTAATTAATTGTTTAGTTTCGACTCTTCCCGGCGGTGGATTTCGTCGACTGGCGTCATGAGGTATTTGAAGTCGAACGACAAAAATACAAAAATCAAAAAAAATTGAAAATACAAAAATATGTCTTCTATTTATTTTATTTTATTTTACTTTCTTAGGTAGTATAATAATAACCCTTTGATTTTTCTTGTCGCGGTTCTTTTTCAAGGGTTTTACATGAACTGAGTGTAGTTAGTTTTTTTTAGAAATATAGAATCTCAAGTCATATTGCTAATTTGAAGCAATTTTCCTTAACTACATATGCCTTGAGAGTGGTGAGTGCCTTAGTTTTGACGCTTAGGCTCAATTCTTGACTCATAGATATGTGCCTTAAATTGGTTGATTGTGACTGTGCTTAACTACTTTGACTAGAAAGTCGGGATTATGTGCCAATGTGTGAGTGAGGTTTTTGTTGATATTCTGTGCATGTTAGTTGATGTCTAGAACTTGCCTCATGTGTTTGCAGAGCAAAATAGTAGTCTTGCTCAGTCTAGGAAGTGATATAGGCATTTATTTATTGAACCAATTATATGTTTATGACCCGCCTAACTGTTGTGTATCCTAGTAGCCCCTTTGAGCCTGTAATTCTACTTCTTTGGCAACCACACTGCTAGCCTAATCCATTTTGTTTGAATTCACTATCTGTTTGAACCTTTTACCTCTCTTGAGCACTTGAATTTGCTATGAGCTTGTAAAAGCTACTTTGAGGTATGGTCGGGTCTTCGAGTGGAATTATAGAAAAGGACGAAGGTGCACTATTTTAAAAAATTGTGAGAGGCACTTGTAGGAAATTGAATAAAAGAGAAGAGAAAACCATAATCTAGAAAAAAGAAAAAAAAAATTGGTGTTTGTATATATTATAAAGAGAATTATTCCTTGCTAGTGGTAAATCTTGCTTTGTTTGTGCTTAAAGAAATTGGGAGCTAGGCGTTAACATGATGTGAAGGTTGGGGGTTTGGTTCAACATAAGTGTGGGGTTTGAATTTGTAAAAGTGTATGTATTAAAGTGCCCGGGGAGGTGTAGCCACTATTATCCAAATTGTATCCTACCCGTCTCGCAGCGTACATTATAACCAAATTAAAGTCCTACTTGATCTTTGATTGAATGAGCTCAATTAGTAGAGTATTACACTACGGGCAAGCCTATGGTACGTCCTCTGTAGCATATGAATTTTGATTCTGAGAGTGAGTGAATTCTTTCTATCTTGAGTTCCTATCTGTTCTTAAATTGTATTATATGTAAAACTACTCTCTGTTTCTGGTATGAGGGCACATGACTTGCGAAGGAAAGGTAATGACTTTGACCTATGTATTAGAGTAAGTGAGCAGGTTATAAAAAAATGTGTGGTGCTTTTCAGTCGAGCTTTGAAGTTACGATGTTATGATAGAGTGCTTAGTCTGCTTTAAATATTCTAGTATAATATGTTAGGAAAGTAGTTTGATGAAAGAGCGTCCATATGTGAAGTGTAGTTTAATTGCTCAGGGACGAGCAATGGGTTAAGTATGGGCTATTGATGGTAGGTTAGAACCCCGTGTTTTAGCCATAGTTTATACTTTAATTACTGCATTTTACATGTGTTTGAGCTTAACTAATAATAAAGTGTACTTATTATGTGTTTTATGTCTTGCAGGAGTTGATTCCAAGTTAAAAAGATGAATTGGAGCTAAAATTTAAAAATAAAAAATATTGGCCATTGAACTTGGGGAAAGGCCAATTGATGCACACTAGTCTAGTATTTTTGTACTCATTCTTTATTGGAATTCTCCAACAATCATAGAGTGGTATAAATTATTAAACAAGTTTTTAAATTCAGAAAAAGCTATTGGTACACCCATAATTAGGCCACTCCAGCTTGCTCTTTAACAAACTATTTGCAGGTGAATTATCACTATCACAACCTTCAACACTTCGATAATTTAATTTGTTTCCTCAACCAACCGAAATTAGAACAAGAATGCTTTCATATTTGGTAGCTCATGTTGTCACCAAAAGAATACAAACTTGTTTATCAAATAAAATCTTTCCTTTTATATATGTGCAAAGATTATATTCCAGTTATCTTAAATAAATAATCTGAAGTTTTTGGAAATGAACGTGATCTCGTCATACATGATGTACTATATTTAAATACTAGTTGTTTACTCACTTTTCAAGAAGGAAATATAATATTCATTACATACAATAAAGTGAAAATAACACGGTATAGCCAGTTTTCGGACTGATCATTCAAAAATAGCCAGCGTTTATTAAGTCAATGAAAAATAACCACTATTTTGCTGCAACAGAGACCGGTCCAGCATAATATACTGGAGTTCGGTGCACCTGCGTATGAACTCCAGCATATTATGCTGCACCGGTATACTTTGCTGGCTCCAGTATAATATACTGGAGACTGGAGCACCGGTGCTCCAAACTCCAGTATATTATGCTGGACCGGTATACTTGCTGGAACTCCAGTATATTATGCTGGAGTTCTAGTATACTTATACTGGAACTCCATCATATTATGCTGGAGTTCCAGCATACTTATCCTGGAACTTCAGTATAATATGCTGGAGTTCAAGTATACTTATGCTGGAACTCCAGCATAATATACTGGCGTATTTTTCGGGAGTTTGAACTGTGTTTTCGCTCACATATATCTTTACATGAAAAGTGGCTAAATTTCGATTACTTTTGAAACTGGGCTATTTTTGAACGACCAATTGTAAATCTGGCTATTTTTTAATTTCACCCTACAATAGATTATCAGTTCACATTATTTATTTCTCTTGAAATTTTACAATAATGAATGTAAAAAAGCACAATATGCGGGTGCTTGAAATGTAATCTTCGTGGAAGTTCCTACCAACATATATTTCAAGAAAAAAAATTGAAAATGTATAAGTAGAAGTAGGGTTTCAAACATTCCATTCATTCAGTAAGTGAAAGTGCAACAAATTAAACTAGTCGTCCAAAAATTATAGGGAAAAGAAAATGAATCAAGCTGATGAAACCATATCTTTCTCTGACCTTGATTTCCTTGAATCTAGCAAACAGCACCTTTGAATGATTCAAATTTTTCTGAGAATTTTTCAAATGACGCAATGTTTAGTAGCCCTAGCCTAAGTTCAGCTGAAAACAGCTTTTAACACCTCCCTTTGTGATGAAAACTGTGAAAAGTCCGAGTCCGAGGAGGAAAGAAAGGGGCCTATGGTAGCGCGTGAGAAAAACGCGCCGCAAGATTGGAGGCGCTACATAGGAGTGAGGCGCTACATAGCAGCATTAGCTTATGACCAAGCCGCTTTTGAGATCCGCGGCTCGAAACCACGGCTCAATTTTGCGCACTTAATTGGCTCGAACATGACTGAGCCCGCTACAAAGAGGTTTCGTATGCGCTCAAGCCATCGTCTTCACCTTCTTCAGAAAATAGGACAAGGAAAAGGAAGATAGATGTGATAAACTCCATAGCTAAAGCAAAATTTATTCGTCATAGCTTGATTAATCTACAAATGTTGGTATAATTGTGAGGAAGTAAGATTTCTTCGTGTTTAACAATTGCAATATAAATAACGTAGGCGGGTTCAGGTTTTAAATTTTATGGGTTCAGATTTCTAATTCTACCACTTTTAATTTACTGGGTTCAAAGTCTATTATTTTTGCAATTTAGTGAATCTTTTTACGTAAACATAGTCTATGCCAAAATCTAGGGATGTTCAAAATCGAACCGTAATCGAAAATCGAACCATAAAATTGGCTTAATGGCTTATTGGTATCGGGTTATTGGATTAATGGTTGGTAAACGGATTGAAATTTTATAATTAACGGCTTATCGGTTTGGGGGCATATTATTCAATTTTCTTAACGGATAAAACGTTAACCCGTTGAAAAAATTTATATTTATATTTTTACCCCTATGTATATAAATATCCCTTCCACTATTTGACAAAGTAGCAGTTATGATTCGCATTCAAAGGGTTTACTGTTTGACTCAAAAGATGTTAAAATCCTTTTAAGCAAATCAATCACAGAAGTGAAAGGGTACATCGTAGTCGGAGATAATAATCCCCGGGATCATTTTACTAATCGGAATAATAACTACAATGTATGGATAATAGAGAGGGAGAGATAGAGATTAGAGAGAGAAATGTTAGAGAGAGTATCAGTTCTTTTCTTACAAGTCCCCCCTATTACAATGTTCGGGCCCCCTTTATATAATAGAGGGATTCGAGTTAAATCCTAGGTGTCATCGCTCACCCTGTTGTGCGCCGCCCCTGAGAGCGGGATGCTTAGGACAATGGACGATGCGGAGCTATCTCGGAAGGTTGCTGGTATGGCTTTGCAGGTAAGTTTCGCCATCTTACTGTTTTTCTTTGTTTATTGTAGGATGGGTATGGAAATATGCTTACTTTTTCCCCCCTTTTTCTTTTTAGACCCTCGTCCTGGAGGTGGAGAGAGGCCGTCGTGAGCGGAAGAGAGCGGACCTCTACAAGAAGTTGTTGAGAAAGTACCGAAAGTGCCGTGCTAAGCACCAGTCGGTGGCCGACCTCTACCGACAGGACCCCGAGTTTCAAGTATTCCGCGAGGGGCTTAAGGAGAGGGAGGCCCAGTTGGAACGTAGGGGGGCGGAGCTGGAGGTGGCGGATGGGGAGCTGGTGAGGGCCGTTGCCCGTAACAGCAAGCTGGAGGCTCTCCTCAGGGCGAAGGATGACGAACTCGAGCTGAATCGAGGGGTGGCTGCGGAAAATGCCGATTTGCAGCAGAGGGTAGCGGGCCTGACCGCCGATCTTGATGTTAGGAAGGCGGAGATCGATAGGCTTAAGGGCGAGCTTGGTGCTAATGCCGACAAATTGGCCGCGTTACAGAGGCAAGTCGCCCTACCGAGGTCTGAGGAAGCGGGATGCCATTCTCGGCCCTCCTCGTCCCGTCCCCAATCTGGTCGGGGCCCTCATCGTAGTACCCATGAAATATGGGTCTATGCGGAGGCTCGGCTTAATATATATAGAGCTTTGCATGCAGAGGGTCGGGCGACGGAGACGGAGGTTCAGGCGGTGCGAAAAGAAGCGCACACAGCTCGTGAATCGTGTGGGTACTACCCCGACTCTCCCGATGGGGAGGATGCTGCTTCCGAGGATGTCGATCGCCTTGACTCGGACGCCTGGTATGAGGAAGCTTATCCCACAGGGGGTGGTAGTTAGTTTTAGGCTTGTGTATTTTTGCTTCCGCATCTTTTTTGGCTGTGCGGTGTACTAAAATCCGTCCATGTGGGCGAATGTATATAATTTTTGTTGTAATATAAATTTTGTTTTTGTCGTATCGTCTGTTCGTTGCTTCTCCCTTTTGTTGTTTTTGTTTTATACCTAGCCTTCACGGACATCGCCTTTTAGGGGATTTCGCCGTGGTTCGAACAAGGTCGAACAATGTCGATGGACTTGGCCATTAGGACGTTGCCTCGACTGTCGTCGAGGTGACATCCGTCGTGGTTCGAATGAGGTCGAAAAATGTCGATGGCTTTAGCCATTAAGACGTTGCCTCGACTATCGTCGAGGTAACATCCGTCGTGGTTCGAACGAGGTCGACCAATGTCGATGGCCTTAGCCATTAGGATATTGCTTCGACTGTCGCCGAGGTAACATCCCTCGTGGTTCGAACGAGGTCGAACAATGTCGATGGCCTTAGCCATTAGGATGTTGCTTCGACTGTCGCCGAGGTAACATCCCTCGTGGTTCGAACGAGGTCGAACAATGTCGATGGCCTTAGCCATTAAGATGTTGCTTCGACTGTCGTCGAGGTAACATCCGTCGCGGTCCGAACGAGGTCGAACAATGTCGATGGCCTTAGCCATTAGGATGTTGCTTCGACTGTCGTCGAGGTAACATCCGTCGTGGTCCGAACGAGGTCGAACAATGTCGATGGCCTTAGCCATTAGGATGTTGCTTCGACTGTCGTCGAGGTAACATCCGTCGTGGTCCGATCGAGGTCGAACAATGTCGATGGCCTTAGCCATTAGGATGTTGCTTCGACTGTCGCCAAGGTAACATCTGTCGTGGCTCGAACGAGGTCGAACAATGTCGATGGCCTTAGCCATTAGGATGTTGCTTCGACTGTCGTCGAGGTAACATCCGTCGTGGCCCGAACGAGGTCTAACAATGTCGATGGCCTTAGCCATTAGGATGTTGCTTCGACTGTCGTCGAGGTAACATCCGTCGTGGCTCGAACGAGGTCGAACAATGTCGATGGCATTAGCCATTAGGATGTTCGACTGTCGTCGAGGTAACATCCGTCGTGGTTCGAACGAGGTCGAACAATGTCGACGGCCTTATCCATTAGGATGTTGCTTCGACTGTCGTCGAGGTAACATCCGTCGTGGTCCGAACGAGGTCGAACAATGTCGATGGCCTTAGCCATTAGGATGTTGCTTCGACTGTCGTCGAGGTAACATCCGTCGTGGTCCGAACGAGGTCGAACAATGTCGATGGCCTTAGCCATTAGGATGTTGCTTCGACTGTCGTTGAGGTAACAACCGTCGTGGTCCGATCGAGGTCGAACAATGTCGATGGCCTTAGCCATTAGGATGTTTCGATGGCGATTCGACTTCTGTCTATATCGTGGAGATTTCTGTTTATACAATGGAGATTGATTTCTATTCATACAGTGGAGATTGATCTCTATTCATACAGTGGAGATTCATATAGTGGAGATTCATATGGTGGAGATTCATACGGTGGAGACCTCTGTTTACACAGTGGAGATTTACTGGGGTAGTCCCTTCATTACTTTGGTCCAGAGGCCGTGTTGATGGACCGAGGTGATGAATGCGCTTTCAATCCACGGGCATCTCCTTCGCCGCCTCGTTAAAACCTCCCCGAGAAAACCCAATTGGGACAAAACTCAGGTGAGGGAAAAAGAGTACGACTTAAGAGACGCCTCTCAGAAGTGGAAATATTTGAGGTGAGCGACGTTCCAGTTGTTTTGGAGTGGTTTTCCCTCCATTGTTTCCAGTTGGAACGCTCCCTTGTTTGCGGCTGTTGTGATTTTATACGGTCCGTCCCAATTGGCTCCCAACTTTCCGTCGTTTGGGTCTTTTGATGCCAGCGTTTTCGCCTTGAGGACGTAATCGCCAACTTTGAGCGACCTTACTTTGGCTTTTCTGTTGTAGTATCTTTCTACTTGCTGTTTTTGGGCTATCATTCTTATGTGGGCCATATCTCTCCGTTCTTCGCTTCATCTAGGTCTTGTAACCTATTCTCATCGTTACCCGCTCTGTTGNGAAGTTCCTCTTTCGCGCAAGATCGTCAGATCCTCGAGTATAGAGGGTGAGATCTCCCCCTCCGATATACCTCTTGGTGTTATATTCTCGTTTTCTTCTCTACCAGCTTTGTTGAGGGAGTCTAAGAGGTTGTTTGAGACATTCGCTATCCCTTTCAACCTTGCTTCTTTCTCTGCCATCGTTGATTTCTATGGAGTGCGAAGGATAGAGATCGTTTTGTTTGATATCCCAGGTGAGAACTATGATTTCGACTACAGAAATCCCCACAGACGGCGCCAAATTGTTTGACTCAAAAGATGTTAAAATCCTTTTAGGCAAATCAATCATAGAAGTGAAAGGGTAAATCGTAGTCGGAGATAATAATCCCCAGGATCGTTTTACTAATCGGAATAATAACTACAATGTATGGAGAGATAGAGATTAGAGAGATAAATATTAGAGAGAGAATCAGTTCTTTTCTTACAAGTCCCCCCTATTACAATGTTCGGACCCCCTTTATATAATAGAGGGATTCGAGCTAAATCCTATGAGTGATAACGTCGGTGTACTTTATAACGTTCTTCTCCTACAAAAATAGCAAGTGGTTGGCCGTTCGATCGAGTCCATCCCTTGAAGTCGTACCCAGCTATGCTTAGGTCAGTTCCTTCAGTCAACTTTTTTGTTAAGCCAAAAGTGAACTTTAGGTAAGTAAGTAGTCCCGTAATAACAGGTCGAGGTTGTCACTCACCTCACCCCGGGGTCGTTCCCTTGTGTCAAGTCGTAGACATTCGATGGTTAGTCACATAGACGGTGGGACGTGGTTAGTCAAATTTGACCCCATACATTCACTAAGACCATAACTGTTATTGTTTTATCTTAGATACTAACTTAGTGGTATTAGACTACTGAAAATTCACTTTCAAATTCTAGTTACTTTTGTCGGTTTGTGAAAATGCACTTGCATATGGCTATATGGCTTGATGCAATAGCAGAAAGAAAAGAGCAATACACAACACTAATTTAGTATATGGCTATTACGTAAATTTTCAATTAGTGACTTCTGGAAATGGTTTAAATATTCGGGCATGACAGTGTCATATAAACGGGTTGAATTCAACATTTAAATTTAGTGATTTAATGTCAAGTGGTATATGCACTCATTGTCTATTTGATTTAGCTGATAAACCGTCCAACAATTGCTAAATTGATACCAATCTGCCCAATATTTTATCGGTTTGGCTAGCAGATTAGTACATTTACGAACTGGTAAAAAAAACATGTAACAAATGATAATCGTACAAGGAGTAGTATATGGTACGAGGATCGTGCTTCAACAATATTTTGAATACTAAAGATCGAGAAGAATGTATAGATGTTGATTGATGTCACGATCCGAAATTTCCACCTACGGGATCGTGATGGCGCATAACATTTCACTCGCTAGAGAGTAAATTATAAGCCATTTCAACAATTCAAGAATTTAAAACTCATTTAAACTGAAATGAAACTAGAATGAAGTACTAAGTGGCATAATACCCAAAATATCTAAGTACAAATTCCGGACCTGGAGTCACAAGTACACGAGCTTTTAGAAGTACTACAAATAAAGTCTGAAATAAGTACAATTGCCTCGAATGAAATGAACAGTACTAAGGAAAGGGGAAGGGGACCTCAAGGTCTGCGGACGCCAGCAGATCTACCTCGAGTCTCCAAGTATGCCAACCCGAGTTGATGTACCTCACGTACAACTAGGACCGGTACCAAAATCTGCACAAGAAGTGCAGAGTGTAGTATGAGTACTACTGACCCAATGTACTCTGTAAGTGTCGAGCCTAACCTCGACGAGGTAGCGACGAGGCTATAACAGGACACTCACATAATTAACCTATGCAAACGAGAATATATATATATATATATATATATATATATATACACGCACACACACACACAACATAACTACAAATAGAGATTTAACCACGTGCTAGTGGGAGGGGACATGCGAAAGGGGGTACAAGGTACGGTAACTACAACAGGAAACGACCACATGAAATAGTAAATATACCTTCAACCAATGAAAACGGATAAACATAATGAATAAAGATTGCACGGCATCACCCATCGTGCTTTTACTCTCAACCTTACCATGGAACAAAATTAATGGCACGGCATCACCCTCGTGCTTTTACTCTCAATCTCTCCATAAGATGATAAATACGGCACGGCATCGCCCTTCGTGCTTTTACTCTCAATTTCATCATGAAACGAAATACGACACGGCATCACCCTTCATGCTTTAACTCTCTTCCTCACTATGTATAAATCAATAAATAAAATAATAATCGGCACGGAATCACCCTTCGTGCTTTAACACTCTCTCCCTTACCATGATGCAATGAATATATAACATTTGGGAGAAAGAATAATCAAGAATAAACCTTACACCAACAACGGTTCAACAATACTGATCCTCAACTTCCACTAATATTTAATTATCACAAATAGTACCTAAATGCGGAAAGAACTATTGATTAAGTAATAAACTAGTCTAAGATGGATATCATAATCAAAGAAGGAAATAAATCACAAGAAACAAGTCTCACTCACATGTTTTAACCCAACAACAGCGCATAAGTACTCGTCACCTCACATATACGTTATACCCAACATTTAAACATGTAGCAAATAGGCAAACAAGTCCTAATCCCTCAAGTCAAGGTTAACCACGATACTTACCTCACTCCTCAGTCAACTCAGAGCTCTACCGGGGCCTTTCCTCTAGAATCCGTCTCCAAACCACTCGTATCTAACCACAATCGACTCGATAACATCAAATGATGCTAAAGAAATCAATTGCAATACATAAAGATAGTATTTTTACACCTTTCCCAAAAAGTCAAAATAAAGTCAAACCCGGGACCGCTTGGTCAAAACCCGAGGTTCGGACCAAAA